TCTGACCCAAGTGACGTTAAAGACTATACAGAAGAAACGTGTCATTCAGTTTACCTAAAATGCTTTGTTGGGGAGCCCATTGTACAATGTGGACGTTATTTGGGATACCATACCAATTGCTATCTTCAAATTTCCAAATTACGGTCTGTTTAAGTTTTCCGAACATTTGGAGAATTTCATTGATCAGTTTCTTTGGCATAGAAAAACTTTTCAAAAACGATCCCATACTGAAGTATATAACACCATGTTCTGATTTATCTATTAAGTCTTGGATGTCCTGAAATGAGGTTTAAGACAATTTTTTCTTGACAAGGTCGCCAGTAGAGAGATAAGTATAGAGAGACGCAAAATATTCTACTCAAAAATGTTTCAAAATGTTCTGAAATTCACATGTGGCAGTGGTTTCACAGGTTCCGCGATATGGATTCCACCGATGAATTTGAAGTTTTGTGGAGTACTCGGCCGGTTGCGTGTGCAATCATGATCATTTCCAAATATTAGTGAAGCATTGTATGTGATATCATCATAGTCTGGAAGCGTCTCTCCGCGTTTAGCCAGCAAAGGACCAAACACTGACTCGTAGATTCTGCGCTCCTCAGGTTGAGTGAAGAATCTGCCATAAAGTTTTTACATCATTGTAGATATTGTGTGTAGATATTTGAAAAATATTCTAAATTTTAATGCATGAACTCAGATGAAAGAAAAGACTAGTTAAAAATCTGAGTAAAAAAAAAACTATACTCTCACGTTTTAAAAAATTGCCATTGGACCCTTGTCCACAATTCTTCAACTCTTTGTATGAACGATAACGGATTTATGTTCGAAGATAAGTAGTTTGGGTCATAAGCAGGGTTCGTAGCAACACCTATCATTTTCAGAACTTGCCAGTTTGCCCCCATAGAGTGGATCCATATCATAGGACAATTATATAAAACTGCAAAGCTAAAAAAGCAAATTACAGAATTAAAAGTTATACAAAAATGGACTAAACCCAAAATAAAACTAGAATTTGTGGGCTTCGATGTTGAATACGCTTAATCTTTAAAAATTTGAATAAAAATTAAGGTTTCATTAAAATTGACACTCGTTCTGGAATCAGGTCTTTTTCAGCTGGCCGAACCAGGAAACCATTGGCTTTGAAGGTAGGTACTGTCCTCGACAATATAAGAGTATGGGGCTGATTTGATGACAGAGATAATATTTATATCAGGAAAATACTCTAAACTGTCACTGCTAAAGCTGATTATAAAGTTGATTTACTTGAAACCTAGTAAAGCAGACTGCCGTCTGTGATTTGGTTATAAAGTAAGAAAATCAATTGCACCACTCACCCACTATATAGTTCAGTTTCTAACAAATCGGCTAGGATAACGTCGAAGTGCTCATTTGAATCTTCCAAGAGCTTAATTACGTTTTCATGTGCAAGCGTTTTCCTTGCGACTTCAAGACTAAAAATTTGAATGTCACGTGGTGAACTATTGTCCAGTTTATTCTCCAGAATATATTCCAATGACAGTATTTGTGTATCTGTAAATAATCGCTGTCATCAGATAACATAAAAATATTAGTGATGTTATATATTGCCATTTCTAGGCACAAAACACACTTGTACATATTTGTTAACTGACAAATATATTATCGGATTTTTGAATCTCAAAATCATAACATTTGCAACTAGAAGTGATTTTATCAGTGCCCATAAACTTGCATGTTGTAAAATCAATTGTCAGTAAGGGAGCTAATTACCTGCGACCAGAGCAGTGTTGCTGCTGATATCAATTTGACGAAACTTTTTTATAGGCGGGTTCTTTATTGGATACACTGTGATATACGTAACCTGAAAATATAATTTCACTTCGTTATAATATCGCACTTCACTGACACTGACCGATTTTGACGTAACATAATCCAATAATGGGATTGATACCTCATCCTCATCGACTCTAATTGTAAATACAATCAAGTCAACAAAATTCTTAATTGCATCTTTCCGAACAGTCACTGAGGTAATTTAATTGGGAATTTGTTCTTTTATAAATTCTTCTACCGCTATATTTTTGCTGTATTGGGTGGAATCAAGGCCCCTTTTTTTGTCAGGGGAAAATCATCAAATGACTTCTCCCGCCCAGTGTAAGGCGAGAGACAGTGTCAGACTTACTGACTAAAAACCCCCCGTTCCTTCTCCTGCTCTGGGCCGAGGCCGCGATGACTCATTGCGCTTAGCCCGCAACCCCGGCTGAACATCAGGAGCAGACACACAACATTAAGAGCTGTATTGTTTAGATACTTTTTAGTGTTTGTTGCAGATTCTATCTAAGATAGCGTAGACATTTATCCGATTATTGCACAAGCTAAGAATGAGTTTTGTTTAATATTTATCACTAATGATTATAAATGATTTGAGCTCACCTCGTGCCCAGCTTCAATTAGATACCTCACTACACTTTGTCCCAATATACTAATACTTTTCACAGGCAAAGGAAAACAAACTAATATTTTAAGACCCTCTACGTTACACAGAAAATATACTAAAATTAACAATAACACTAGCTTCATTTCGATACGTTTTTTTAAATAATGTATTAAAATGAATATTAATCAATGCATCAATTAGAATTCGTCCATTTGTTATTATGCGACAACAGTAATATGCTTGCCTTATGAGACGCTAATGGTACGAAGTTAAATTTGAAGTCAATGGTCTAAACTAAATAAGGTGATAAATGTAAGAAATTTCGGTTCTGAGACAATTTTTGTGTCGCTTCCCTAATGATGGAATCATTTATGCTTATTAAAATATTTATTTATATTCATATTTTTAAACCTGAGAATTCAGAATCTGCGATTTCAGAGGATTTCATTAATTCTTAGGATTTTTGTAATTGTTATTATCATCATTATTTTCTACTCCATATAATTCTTATTCTTGTTTTTTTTTCATATATAATTTTTCTTCTCTCATTTTATCAAATGTTTTTTGGCTTTCATTTTCTTTTTCTTACTCAATATTAAAACTATTTTTTATAAAGCAGCACATCTTCATGCTTTATAAATGGAACGAACAAGAAATTATTTTTTTATATAAGGACACCAAAATAAATTATACCATGATTTTTGTGCCGACGCTACGTCGGAAAAAGATCAAGGTCGCTTCTAATAAGGTAAAGTACATAAACAAACCAAACACCAAGTAACTCATAAGAGACTGGACTCGGGGATATAATGTAATGCTTTTTGTTTTTAATTTTGATTTCGTTTGACTTCTAATCAAAAGTCTGAGCCCAATTCCTTTTTTACGCTAATTACTGGCCCGGTTTATGACAAAAAGTCTCACTTCTATCACATGCAATTCTTTATCTTAGCCTAAACAAATCTAGTTAAAAATGAAAGTCGAACTGTTCAGGAAATATAGAACAACGCGTTTTGACTGTCATGTAATCTATATAAATGAAAAGGCACCATCAATAAAACGAAAAAACGCTTGGATAATCGAATGACTTCACCTAATTAGATAATTCTTCTTTTTGTAATATTGCATATCCTGACGGACGGAGTTAATGGAGAATCTTCTGTTTTTAAAATAGTATGCTGTACCTCTCTGCAGAATAACAAGCCTGTCAAAATCTAACTGTGTCGTTTCATACCAATTGTTCAATTGATGTGATGGTTGACTGGCGATTCTATTGAAGTTGCTTGGCAACTAAAGCATCGTATTCACTAGACAAAATTTGACGCACGACATTTTCCCATGTTGTTCCACTAGATGTACTGTTTTCTTTTTACGTATTGTTCTCGTAATAATCATTGACAACGTTTCTCTAGAGAAACTCGTGGCAATTTTAGTGGGTCATGCGTCTGGTCGTGTTTATATGGTGTTACCAATATATTTTGCATCAACGAAACAAAATGCATCTTAAAGTATAATATTAACTGGGAACGTCGTCAGGCGGAGCTGCATGTGATAGCCTAATAGTGCATCTGTAAACTTATTCAGTAAGAAAAAGACATTCACCTCGTCTGCAAAAAAAAAAACGGGCACACGACTCTCGACTATTGGATATGATGCTTTTGGCCTTGAATGCTCCCTAGATTGGCACTTCTGACTGTAGTAGTTGTTCCAACTATTTTGTACCATGTGATCGCATAGTGAAGTCCGATTTATATGTAAGCTATGGTTTGATTGAGGTACAAGGAAAATAAAAATAAAAGTTTGTTTCGAAGTCAATAATAGAGGTGTATTCCTATTATCTCCCAATTTGATGTTTGAATTGGGCAAAATAGACATTCATTTTTGATATAGTAATAGATCAAACTTTCTCTCTTGTTCTTATTTACATTGTTTACTTATTGTATTGTAGATATATTACCTATACCTTTACGGTTACAATATTCAGCTGTTACTAAGGTCTGTTACGAAAAACTAAAACTATTAACACACTACATCTGCTGCCATTTAAGTAGGATCAAAGCACGTAATGTTAGAGTTTATTTTATAGACAGACAATTGGCTCCTGATAATAAAATGAATGCAACATTACACATTTATTTAGTCATCTCTTATCTATCGCTTCATATTATCGCTGATCGACAATGCTAATAATTAAAATTACTTATGTACATAATATTACGAAAAACTAAAACTATTAACATTACATCTGCTGCCATTTAAGTGGGATCAAATGACGTAATGTTAGGGTGGGTTGCACCATTTAACTTTAACGATAACACAGCCGTTATCAGCTGTCGAATCGTCGAACTGACCAATAGGAGGCCGTTTCATGGCTTCCTATGGGTTAAAGTTAAATGTTGCTACTCACCCTTAGTGTTTGTTTTGAAGACTGACAATTGAGTGATGATAAAAAATGAATGCAATATTACACATTTAGTAATTTCAAATCTCACATTTAGCTATCTATTATAGCCGGTTCACAGTGCCGATTATTAAAATTAGACTAATAAACACAGACGATATTTGAAATTTTGGCGCTTTGCGGGTATATAGGGGAGAAAAAAACTACTTCATAGATTCAAGAAGGTATCAGTTACTCTTCTCTTTTTTATTCGTCTTTTTCTTCATTAAATATTTCACAGCCTTTTTAAGTATAATTATAACTACAACTAGAAATGCTGCTAGATCTAAGTAAAGCTTTTGATACAGGGGTACATTCAGAGCAGGAGATCGCAAATGAGGAGCGCCACGTGTCCGCACGACGTATTCTATCCAATATGGCACTGCTGCTCCTGGTGTCATCACACGATCATGGAATAGAGCTGATATTTCTTTGGCTTTTTTTCTATATCTGAAAATTCGAAGTGTAAATTATATCTAAATGTTGTCCCAGTTATACAGTATTGTGTATGAGTGCTATGCAAATAATATTTAATTACAAAAATACAGCTAAAGCAAGTCAACTTACGCGTCATCAGTCAGTACTTGTTGGACAGCTGCATCAAGTTCAGGTATCATGTCCTCAGATAGGGTGACCCTGATTCCAAAACCCTTGTTTGCCACAGAGATCATGTTGAGGACTTGGTCTGCCATTACTGGGATACCCACAAGGGGTACACCGTAATGTATCGCTTCTGATGTAGATAGCTGACCACCATGGGTGATGAACAATTTGAGGTTTGGATGAGCTGAAATAGGGCAGTAATTTTGTTATTACAAAAATTAAAAGGATTAGTACACATATTGTATGGTTTAAAAAAATATAGTTTCATATAACATGTATGTAGTTCGTTAATTGTTTGATTTTCACAAAAATATTTTCAACGATAAATTGAGACGATGTTATATTGTAATGTTTGAAAAATGGTAAATCTGCTTCAGATATAGCTTAAGCGATTATTTGGAAGTTCTCCGCTGGATTAAATAGCTTTTCTTACCCAATATACTTTGCTGTGGAGCCCATTTCACAAGATGAACATTAGGAGGTATATCATCCTTCATGTCACTCTCAAATTTCCAGATAACCGTCTGATTATATTTACTGAACATGTCCAGAATAGATTTCTGCATCTGTTCCGACATGCCATCACTCTGTACGATAGATCCCATGCTAAAGTATATGACGCCATGTTTTGCTTCATCCATTAGTTTTTGCAAATCCTGAAATACAAACAAATTTTTAATGTTTATTTTCCTAGCTTAGGCTCCCTTGATGGTTAAGTGCAATAAAAATAACCTCATGTGAAAACATTAGTTAGTGAAAGAAGTATTTCAAAATTGTTGACAGAAATCATGTCTCAAAACATATTTTGTGATCGAATTGGACATGAAGTAAACAGTATTAATAACAGTGCTATTTATTTTTCATGTTACAAATATATATTTTTTAATTTATATAATAAAATGTTATCTTCAAATTATGAACCAGCTGCAAAGATACAGAAATGAAACCGACGACTTTCCCAGAGGATTTTCTCCGCTAATATTTGGACCAACAGACCGAACGTTTAGCACGTGCTATGCAAACAAATTAGTTCCGCTGCAGTAAGCAGATGAAGTTAAACCAAGCAATCCAAAGCATAAGATTGCAGATTTGCAGAGCTGGATAAAAATCCTTAGAGACTCAACGTAGCGCTTGATTCCCTATTGTTGTACTAAGTCCTTTGAGCGGTTGGAAAGATTAGAGAGAATAAATTCAGAGCGTGTTGCTTTTGGCTAAGCTCAAACGTTCATTTCATTCTGCCCGTGGGAAATGGCGTGATTACGTATTAACTGCGTTGGTGATGTACTGCGTAAAGGCTAAGTATATTTTTTAAAAGATGTTAAAAGATTGTTTTTAAGGGTATTTTGATATTGTTTCCTATGTGTAATGTTTAAGTTAGAATAAAAAGGAGCTAGAATTATTGCATCCTCTTATGTAAAAAAATGTGTGCTTAGTATTTGTTCAAACTAAGTGTACAATGTATAATACATAAATTATTAGAAGTTTAGATAAATGTCGTCAACACTGGTAGAATACAAATACAAACGATTAGTAATCAGCTAGTCCATATATAATGTTGTACTACGAAGTCTCTTTGTTTGTATGGAATTCAAATACAATGTTTTAGCAATCTGTTTGGTTCTATTAAGTTTTCTTTAAGTAAGGGTTGGCTTGACCGAAGTGATAGAAGTTTAATGCTGTTGTGCTGGAGTGGTTCTTCACTTCTTCCACGACCTCACAGAAAACCGTTGTGTCAACCAACACATCGGTTTTCTGTGAGGTTATGTGACAATCAACAGTTAGGTTGTGTTTCGCCGGAGGCCCAATACCTCCTAATCCTCAAATCTTGTATCCTTAAATCGCTAATAACCTACAATCCTTTAGAATTACGAGTGTCCATAGGCTTCGCCGATTGTTTAACATAAGGTAATCTGTCTGCTTGTTTCCCAACCTATGCCTGCGAATGGCTCTCCCACACAATAATTAATTGTTTATACACTACCTTTGGTAAAGGTTTAGCTTTATCGATGTGGTAGCCAGCAATATTCGCAGCATTTTGAGGTAATTTTATTGCTCCTCCAATGGAAGGGTGGGCGTTAATCAGCATGAACGATCCATTGTAAACAGCATCTTCATATGAGGGCATTGTCACACCTCGCTTGGCTGCGATCTCTGGGTATATTGAATAGTATGCTCGTTTCTCGAACTGGTTCAGAATTAGCCTAAAAAAAGAAATGAGGTTATTTTTCTGATGGTGACACTTACTTATAAGAATCCTACTAATAGGATAAACATAAAAGTTGGGAAGTACTGATGGCCCTTTACTCTTTCACGTTTAAGCTAATGAATGCATTTTTTTAAATACTGGCATGGAGATAGATTATAGTCTGGAATAATACATTGGCTGAATTGAAACCAGATAACATAGGCCTTAGTTGTGACCCTTAGCCGTGTTGTTGCTATTGGAAAATAATAACTATAAAACCTTGACCATCGTTTACTTACACCTGAACAGCTTTTTTCACAACCTTCCACAGTCCTTCAGCTCGTCCCCAAAAGTCTAAAGGCAGCTTGTTGTGTGTGAACAAGTCTAGAGTGTACGCTGGGTTAGTGATCCCATCCATCACTCTCATAGATTGCCAATGAGGTTCCGTCGAGCATACCCAGATTAGAGGACAGTCGAACAGCGCTGGAATACTGTGAAGAATATAAATAATGTTTTTCTGTAAAAATACTATATCAGAATTGTCTTCAACTTGAAATTTTCAACTAAATACATCACTCCGAAGCCAAAAGCGCTAAGCAATTATTGCCAAAAAACACTTGGGTAACTTGATTCTCACAACTTAGTCTAGATTTTCAAGAAAACCAAATCGTGATTCATATTCGTATTCTAATACCTGAAGCATGCGTTGGTTTTCGCAGAGAGACCACTTCAGGCTTAAGTGCCAGCCTTTAAAATCTGGCAACGATCTTGTAACTTCTCTGATGTTGTTGTATCCATGGGCGACGCTGATTGCATATCATAATGTCTCTTAAATTACGGTAATACATACCCAGCATTCATCTCAGTGAAGAACCATTCCAGCACAACAGCGTCAAACTTCTCTTTAGGGTCACTGAACAATTTCACAACGCTGGGCTCCTCCAAAAAGTTTTTATGTATAACATAAACGTAATACAAGAATAGAGCTGAGTCACCAAAGTTGCCTTTTCCGATCAAGTTTTTCAGTTTGAATGCTTCAGCTGAAAATTAAAATTTTAGATATCACTACATAGTATAAAGCAAAGTCGGTATGTTTAAATCTTTGAAACTATGCAACGGATTTTGGTTTGGTTTCTTTAATAGATAGCATAACTAAAGAGGAAGGTTTATATGTATAATAACATTGATTAAATAGAAATAATAAAATAGAGAAATTAAATATATATTTTTAAACTAGCGACCGGCACCGGGTTCGCCTAAAAAAGTTTATCCTCTTTAAATTTTTCACCGCTGGTCAAATCTTTACAACTAAGATTGCTAAGCAAAAATTCTCTAACAAATTCATTGTTCAAGCCCAGAAAAAGATTATATTTATGAAAATTGGAAGTAAAAGGAGAGAAATGTAGACTTGCTTTAGACTCATTATGTTGATGTAATGTGTATGTTTCATGAAATTATTTATTAATAAGTTCAGTGTTAACAAAGGGGTCGTGGGAAAATAGCAGATAAGAGAACAGAAAACATAATTAAGGTCATCAAGTTTTTGTTAATTGTCATTATAATAACACTTTATAATTATTTAATTTAAAGAAATGAGTATAACTAGTAAGCCTTGTATTTAAAGTAAGTTTTTTATCCATTTTTACGTAATATTCAAAAGCTATTTCTTTGTTTTTCTATCATATCTTACCGGAGCGATTTTATGACATGATTTTATATCTGTAGATAGCTTCTTTGACTTGCTTAACCTTCATATGAAACAAGAGGGACTGTTAGACTCTTAATGACTAAAAACCAACATGTTTCTGTAGTGTTTGCCCAACAACCCCGGCTCAACATTGGCCCTGTGTCTAAAGATGGCTGAAGAGGTCTTTTGCTTCAATCAAACGGGCAAAGTCTGGGGGCAAGCTAGTAGTGTTGTATAAAACTTACCTCCATCAACATCCTTCTTAAATACATCTGCTATAGACGATACGTTGACTTCAGTGAGATTTGGCAAAACTTTGCCATTCGGGAATGATGTTATATGGACGACCTGAAATTTTAAAAAGATTTGTTTTGTGGTATGCCTCATTCATCAGGTGGCAAATGCAACCGACCAATTGTGGTCACAGGTTGATTTTCAGGATTACTAGAACATTGTGGTTTTGACCGAAATTTCGATAAACTAGATTTCTTTGTGTACGGCATTCATATTTCCAATAACATACTTGATTTTCACTTAGCGGGTTATATTCGTGATTATACCAGAACAAATTAGGTTTTGTTTTTGAAAAAAACTATGTTTAGGTACAAATCCCCCAAACCCCTACTCTTGAAAAGGCCCGGCAACTCCTGTGGTATTGTAAATATTCATAGGTGGAGCTGATTACTTACCACCAGTAAATCAAACTGCTCGTTTGCCGCTCTATAATATAAAAAAAAAACAATATAAGTTTTGCACATTATATTATCTGTGTGGGACAACATATGGGATACTGTGTGGGAGAGCCATGCTTCGGCACAAATGGGTCGGCTCAACCGGAGCGATACTACAGCCTTACAGAAAACCGGCGTAAAACAACCACAGCGTTGTGTTTCGCCATGTGAGTTATCGGAGGCCCAAACCTTTCTAATCCCTCCCCAGTCCCAAAATTTCCAAATCCCTAAAAGGTCGGCAACACACTCGTAACTCCTCCGTTGCGGGTGTTTATGAGCGGCGCTGATTGCTTACCATCAGATAATTCGCTGCCCGTTTGCCGACTTATTATATAAAAAAAAAAATGCTATTACTTATACTAATTTTGTACAAAAATAGCTTACGTCAAAGTACATTACCTCATGTCCAGCTTCGAGTAGTCGATTGACGACGCCATATCCCAAGATGCTGTGGCTCTTGGAAGTCATGGGATAACATACTAGAATCCTTAATGATTCACTTGATATCAAGAGACTCAGTAAACATATGGTAGTGATTATTTTGTGCTTCATCTGTAAAGGAATCAGAATATGTTATAAATTTCGCTAATGAGACATTTTCTATATATTTTTTTTTTCTTCTTTTCTTTCAGTCCACAATTTAATGGTCTGAAGGTATTTATATTGTATGATAGACTCTTGTCCAATAGTAGACGATAACAGTTAAAATTACTATTAAAATGTGCCACAATAACCTCATAGACCTATCTAGAGAAACACAGTCGTGATTTTTTGGTAAGAAAACCGTACTGTAAAACTCTATAAATATTCCCAATCCTTCCCCTCTCCTGATCCCTCCCAATCCCTAAATCTCCAAATCCCTAAAAAGTCCGCAACGCACTAGTAACTCTTCCGTTGCGGGTATAAGCAAACAGCGCCGCCCCAACGTATTATTTTTTATCAAAGGGAATCCATAATCATTACGAAGAACAAAACACATTCGCTTTCTCTTGCTTTATATCCAACTAGCTGTGCCCCGCGGTTTCACCCGCGTTTTTGTCGTTTCCGTGGAAATACCGAGATAAAATATTGCCTATATTATAGCCTCCCTCAATAAATGGACTATTGAATATTTAAACAGTTTTCATAATTGTCAGATCAGCATTTCCCGAGATTACCGCCTTCATAACAAACAACCAAACTTTTCATGTTTAGGTATAATATTAAGAAAAATATAGATTAAGTTAAATTGTATAAGTCAAGTAAGTAATAGCTGTTTATCTGTTCGAAATTGAGCCACAATAAGAATTACACTTTAAACCGGGTTAAAATATCATTTTAAAGTACTTCTGAGTAAATGATATTTTTCGTTTTATTTTCTGAATTGGATTAAAATGTAAAGGCAAATCATTTGGTATCATTAGGATCCAAGGTATAAATACTGTTTGACCAACCACTGGACCAGTCAGAACTATTATTGCAACTTTCACGTAATTGCGAACAAATTTAACCTAAAGTCTCCCGTTACATAAATTTCTAAGTAAAATAATGGGACACCAATTTTTAACTTGAGAGAATGTGATGGGATGCCCCTCGGGTTTAAAGGATGAAAACATCCCTGTAGATAATGGACTGCATATTCTTGATCCATTGGAAGTTTAGTTAAAATTAAATCGTTAATTTTGTCAACACTACTGTTTAGACTTTACTCTACTGTACACACTTTAGGATTCTCACCTGTGTTGTGGGTGCGTTTACAAACATACAATGTCACATATACATGACATCCAGACCCTAAAACAACAATTTGTGGATCACACAAAGTGTTGTTCCGTCCGGGAATCGAACCCGCGACACGTTGCACGGCAGCCAGTTGCCCAGCCACCGCACCGACTGTGCACACTTCCATTTTCTATTTCGACACATCTTTAGAAGATGTCTTTATTTCCACATCTTTATTTTCTATTTCGACGATATCTTTTGATATTAAACTCTCAATGCTAGTCTTTTTTTCTCCTAAATCTTGATCAATAGGTATTTTATTTTCAAAATAAGGTACTTTTCCGTCTCCAACTAAAAGTAACTTCAAAGGAAAATTTGTACTACCTCCTTCCAAATATGCTCTCATGTCCGTAGATAGTTTTAAGGTATGAACAAATTTCCATAATAGAGAACTATTAAGGCAATTTTTTACAATGTCTACTTTAGTTTCTCTTACTACTACTGGTAAAGTTTGCCGAAAATCCCCAGCAAACATGACAGTAATCCCAACCATGATTTTATCACAGTCTCTAATATCTATAATAGTCCTATCTAGAGCCTCCACATGAGCTCTATGAATCATGGTACATTCATCCCAGATTATTAAAGTGACATCCTACAAAATTTTGCCTAAAAGGCCATTTTTACGAATAGAGCACACGCTCTTTCTGTAACGGAACGGTTAGGTTATGTTAGTTTAAAAGTGTAATGAACAGTAACATAAGCTGGTGCGTACGCCAGCTAATATAGTAGCAGCGATTCCAGATGACGCTACTGCCAAAGCTAGTTTTCCCTGAGACCTTACTTTTGCTAATATCATATTAGTAGCTAATGAAAGTTTTGCCGGTGCCGCCTGGAGCATCCAAAAAAATAATTTTCCCTCATTGAAACAACACTGAGCATAACACAATTGTTTGCCATTACCTGGTCATTAAAGAACTTGGGTGCATTTACAGTAATATACTCATTTAATTCATTTACATCGTATGGCTTCCGCAACGACATTTCCAAATTAAGATGTATGTTTTTCCTTGGATTTCCTTTTCCTTAGCAGAGTTAGTTTAGAAATGTATTTCTTATACTCTTCAAACATCTTATACTTACAATCATCAACAAATATATTACGAAAAATATTATTACAGGATTTTATGTTGATAAAAAACTCTATGGTCCATAACTCATTAATAAGGTACCGACTCTTAACATCTTACACACATGATAACTTTTATACGATTGAGAGATTGAGAGGAAATAAAAAAGTATTTTAAAATACTTATAAATAAATACTCTTGATAACATAATGCTTAATTCCGATAAAGAATAATATTACGATACATATTTAACGCTTTTTTTCCTTCAGACGATTTAATAATTATTTTGAACACAAAATCGGGTATTGTGATTAAACCATGATAGCTAGATTATGCTCTCGCGGACTTTTTGTAGGTTTTAATAGAATCTACAAACCCGTAGTACATCATTTTGTTCTATGGTCAATAGTTATTGCAGCGCACGCAAAAATAGGTTTTCGATTTTACTCCTTGTGTTACAAAATAATTTTGAATTAAATAAAATATACCTTCCTCGATAAATGGACTACATAACACGGAAAGAATCATTCAAATCGTATTTTTTTTTTGTTTTCGGAACCCGACTTATTAATCTTCAAACGACGAATTCTGTGCTCCAGCTCCAAAGCACACGCGTATACACTGTTTTGATAGATGATTGAATTTGAACTTTGTTTAGTGGTAAGAAAGTTCAAATTTACTTTTTGACGTTTGGAACACACCTTTTCTGCTTTCACTTATTTCTTAGATAACAGTGAGTGCTTGTAATTTAATATGAACCTTATGTATAACAGCAATAAAGCTCAAATTGATTCGACGTTTTAGTTAGAAAACTTTTGTATGTGAAAAAGAAAAGGACTGTTTTTAGGGTTTTCCCGGCAATTATTCGATTTTTTCTCGCCGTAAGAACCATCCTTGGACTTCACCGAACATCTTAAAAAAAGAATTGGCCAAATTGGTCCAAGCGTTATTGAGTTATGCGCTTACAACACATTTTGCGATCCATTTTTATATATGTGTGCTTAAATCTTTAAAACTACGCAACAGATTTTGATGCGGTTTTTTAATAGACAGAGTAATTGATAAGGATGGTTTATTTCTGTAATAGTATCCATTAAATAGTGAATAATTTTAGAGTCAGCATAGGCCCCATGAAAAGCCGGGGCGGGTAGCTAGTCAATAATAAATTAAATGTGGTCTAGACACTTATTATGTAATTTTAAACAAATTATGCATAAACTGATTTATAGTTGGTAAAGCAGTTGTTCACAAAATTCAAAGCACGATATCGCTGAAATAACTACATCAGAACTGGCCTTCGCAACTTATTATAAAACGCGGCAGGAATTATATATAAGAATTATGTCCGTGAAACAGAGAATCATTCACAAAGAAAATTAAGGATTACTTAAAATATGTTTTTAATAAGTATTGTTTCAAATACAACTGCTTAGGGCTGAGTTCATTAAAAATTTAAAACGATTCTGAGTACAGCGGTAAATAACAAAACAAATGGTTGAATATCATGTCATCATCAGAAACTCTAGTCAAGTGACCTCATCAAGTAGTTATTAGTCAAGAAAGCTATAAACTATAATTATAACGAGGAACAGCTATCGAGGAGTCATCATGTCCTGATCTCTGAGTCATCTCTCCTCCTGAAGATATGAGGCCCAAAACACGTTTTGAATATGGTTTGTGATTTTGTTGTGACAATGCTACGGGTGCATTTATTTGCTGGAGGTGCAAAATTAAATGAGGTAGCATAACTAAAACTAGTTGTTTTTTCATTTCAATTCAAATTGTACAGAGGTTTTCTTTTGAGAGGGGAACTAATCAAATTCCTGTCTTGAGCCTGACGGAAGGAGTGAAAGACAGTCTTAGAGCTGAGGCCGAGCCGGGCTGCGACACATAATTTTGTCTGCACCCACAACTCCGGCTGAACATCATCCAAGACATTCTCCCGCCCAAAGCCGGGCGAACATCGCGCTCGATGTCAGATTTTTACTGACTAAAAACTACCCTGTTCTTTCTCCTGCTCCAAGTCGGAGCAGCGGATACACAATAGAATCATGAGTTTGTCCTGGACTAGATTTCGCTACTACGACAATATGCGTCTACATCATAATGACCGTCTCCAATAAGATTCATTTTCAGACTAGGCAAGTGACTAAAATCGTTGTCTGAAAGGTTCATGTTTATCAAGGATCGATAAAGGAGGATCTTCCGATCAGGAAAGATGATAATGCGTAGCAGATTACTGATCAAAATAGTTGTACGTTGTGAGCATATTTCAGTGTTATATAGCGCCTAAATTTCTTAGAACACTGCAATCTGGGACAGACACCCGAATATTTATCAAACAATGGTATTTACAATCATTATAATATTGATAGGTCATTGTAATGTAAATATACTATAGATAGGGAGTAAAGAAAATATCAACACTTGAAAGAGAACAAAATACACAGTTTATTTTTGAGATCGTAGCTACAAATAGTAACCGCTAGCTAACGCCATCTAGTAACAAACCAACGAAGATTATTTTTATTGTTATCTCCTACAGTTAGTAGGTGTAGGTATGTGTATACAAAAGTTAACATTGTTTAAAAACAATATTAAATAATTGTTCGTTTAGTATTGCCTTGTTTTGCTCTTAATTTGTTTTTTTTGTCATTAATATTTTCAATGTTAAAACGTTAACATGAACAGATTAGGTAAATTGATGCTGTTTTGTTTTCA